GGAGTGGGCGCCGTTGCCGCTGCCGCCGTCGCCTCCTCCGCGTCGCTGCGCGCTAGCTCCCTTCGCCCTCCGCCCTCTGGGATGTGGCCTGCCACCGCTGCTGCTGCTGCTGCTGCTTTTGCTGCGGAGCCTGGCGTCCCTGGGGGCCCTTGGTGGGCAGCCTGCCAGCCCGCCACACTACCTGCACTGCAGGACTGCCCCCAGGCAGCCTCCACTTTTTCCTCCAATCCAAGGCCCAGCTTGGCCACCCTCGACCTATGAGGGCCAAATAAATAACATTTTACAGCTCTCCCCCTATGTTATGTCATCTTTCATTTGCAGATCCTCTCCATCCTCTCGAAATCAAAGTCTGTATTTACGCCACCGAACAAGACCACAGCTTAGCAAAGTCTAAACCAAGTGGAACTGATCAGGCTAACAGAGGCTTTGCTTCCAGACCTATACTACCACGCCAAGTGGAGGAAAATGTGATTCTCACTTTAGTTGATGATTAGTGTACACCTGTAGGAAATGCAGTGCCCTAGAACCGGGCACGGGTTGAGTCACGCATTAATGATTTGTACTAAAAAAGCTACCAGGGTCTAATATTTGGGGGCGCTCAAGCAAGGTAAGTTATAGGAATGGGGCAACTGAGTCGTCAGCATTAGAGAATAGAAACCTTAAATAGGGCTACCTAAATTGACTCTTTTCCGTATGCCTGATGATCTCAGTTTTCATTTTAATAAGATACTGGACATTTTCCTTTAATATGTTTTTATCAGAGACTCAACCAAGTTTGCAATGCAACCAGTTTGGGGAAATTTATTTAGTGGGTAACTGCTTATTCGTTGGAAATTGGCTATACTGTGGTAGTTTCTGCATAATTTCTATAAATATTATTGTATTTAAATAGGACAGAACATTAAAAAGCATTTTGTCCAAATACTTTGTTATAAAACTTTAAAGCTCCCAAATGTTTGAAAATTTTTGATTTTCCTCAGGGATTGTCAGTAACTAAAATAAAATCTAGTTTCTCATGTTACCTCCCCTTTGCCTTAACCATTGGCTTATGATACATAAAGAACCTATTATCCATGCCATTAATAATCACTTTTCATAAATTTGTGGTTTTGTACGAGTATTTTCACAGAACAATTAAATATGTAAGCTCCCAAAGGAGAGGAACTTGAGCATTAATTCTCTGTATTCCCCAGATTAGTTCAATCAATATTGATTGATTGGTTCTCATTCTATCTTGGCAAAATCAAACTGTTCCATGAGAGGACAAACCTGTCCTTAGGAGCAGAAGAAATTATAGTGTTCACAAAACACTTTTTCTTTTTTTTCCTCCTAATAAAGTTCAAGTTTTCGAACAGTAGCTTGTACTTTATTAGGAGAAATAGTTACTATACCTACTTATTTAAGCCAGCACTTTCTAGAAATGATTTCAGGTAGATTTGCAAATCGATTCACATAAAGTACTAGGTTAAAAAAACATGAAGTGAAATAACAATAAAATGAGAAAAAAAACAAGTCAGAAATAAGGCTAATGCCCATGTATACCACGTTGACTAAAGCCTGGGTTCACATTCAAGCTCTTTTACTAGTCGTCATATAACACTGGGCATGTTCATTTACCTCTCCAGGAAAAAGTCTCCTTTACTGATAATAGGATAAAAAATAGGGCCTTCATCTTAGATGGCTGTGAGATCTAAAAGCCTTAATGTAGGTCGAACACCTCCCTAGCTACATGACTGGCTTTAGTAAATATTTAATAAAGAGTGGTATCATTATTCCCATTATTTTAGTATTACTATTATTATTCATTGACATGGAACTGACCACAAATTTGGCTCTGTGGATTTTAACAGCCAACAATACTCATATAAATCTAATCTATATAGAGATTTCTTACAAAGGTTAAAGATGTCACTAAAGTAATTAGATTGGCTAGTATCTAGAGGAATAAATCTGGGAAAATGTCATAGATAAATTTCGAAAACCCTATCTAAATCTCAATTTGTATGCTTTTATGAGTTAACAGTGGATTAGATTATTAATCTCAACATTAGCATATGGCCAGCCTCTATAATATATGACAAGGTTATATTAGTGTTTATGGGTTCCTAACAAAATAAGGCAATAAAAAGTGAAGTGCCTGTACAGTGTTATTTTCATACCCATATCTTTTTTCAGGATAATGATTTGTTCTTTCCCATCTGAATGGTAAATGTTTTGACCTTTTACAGAGATTTACACTTATGTGAACAATGATTAAATCTAAATTTCAGTGTGTGCTAAGCCAAATGAGGTCTAATATTGATGCAATAAAAATAGGAAATAGGATCTTGTTCTTAATATTCTGATTTTATTGCCAGCCCCTGCTAATATTGTCTGCTTATAGTACTAAAGACATCATTTAACTTTTTCATACTATAGTTTCTTCTTGTGAAAAGAGGAAACAATGATAGGATCAATTAGATAATATAGGGTACTTGAAAAAGTTCACGGAATTAAAGTATGAGTTTGTAGGACCAGCAGTTGGCATAATGGCTATGTCATTGGACTCTCATGTAGTCGACCGTGGTTTGAGTCCCGGACCTGGTGGCTAAAACTCATGCCTGGTGCATGTGCGTGCCCAAGATCCCAAGAGGAGAATGGAGGAGAAGGGATTGCGGTGTGCCATTCCCCACCCCACCCAACCCCCGGGGGGGTGATTTCTTGCTTTCTATCTGTCTCTCTCTGTCTTTCTGGTGAGTGCATGTGCCCTATAGCAAAAACCTCACCAAAAAATTAAAAAAAAAAGTATGAGTTTGTTTTGGTGTAAAAATAAACTTGAAATTTATGCATAGCTTTTTTTCACAATATGCATTTTAAATGAACTTCTCAAAAGCCCCTTATCTTTTATTTTTATATAGGTAAATTCAAAATAGGGGAAAACAAATGCAAAATATATAAATTCCAAGTAGAGGAAAAGAAATTAAAAAGATGTAAAAGAAAGTAGGTAAATAGTTGCTTAGGGCTCGAGTGGGAATGGGAATGGGGAATAAATGGGTATAACATTTCAAAGTACGTAAATTATATATCAGTAAAGCTGTGACAAAAAGAGAAGGCCTATACCTTCTCCTTCTACTCCCCAGCTACTGTCTCGTGTTCCAGAGGCAAACCATTTTGCCAGTTTATTGCATATACTCTCCGAGATGTTCTAATGCATATATTGATTATATACATAGTTTCCCCTTTTATTCAAAAGAGGTGACTACTGTGCACATAGTTCTGTAACTTATTTTTAACGGTAAAATAAATCTTAGTGATCTTTCCTTACCAGTACATTTAGAATTGCCTCTTTCTTTGTATATAAATATATACTATGCAGTGAATGAGTGAATCATGATTTAAGTAAATCATACCGATGGACATTTGGGTTGCCTTCCAGTCTTGCTGTTTACAAACAATTCTTCAATGAATACCCTTGCTTCTAAGTCTTTTATCCACATGTGTGAATATATCTTCTGGAGAAATACTATAAGTAAAACTACTGGTTGAAGTACATTTTTAATTTTAAAACATGCTATCAAATTCCCTTTCATGGGGCTTGACTCCTTGGGGAAAAATACTAACAATTTTTATCAGTAGAAAGGGGAAAATGATGTCTTTAATATATAAGAAGTTCCTACAAATAAAAAAATTCAAAAGCCAACAGCCAAATGAAAAAATAGATAAAGCATTTGAATAGAATGTTAATGGATTATAGAAAAGTAAGAACAAATATACTCAACCTCACTTAAAAGAAATTCAAGGTAAAGCTATACTAAAATACTGTTTTTCATCTGTCAACATTCCTCCAGGCAGACCTAGCACAAA